TATTTTTTGGCGGTTGTGCTATAGGCCGGTAGTTGCATCTCGGAAGCGGCTGTTCCTAAGTGTCCGAAAGTGTGGATTCCCGCTTGTGACGTCATCATCAGTAAGGGTGTTAGGCCGACCTCCGGGGAAGGAGTGGTGCAACTGGCGCAACGGAGGAGGGTCCTCGACGTTTATTGCTGACTCCGACTGCAGATGTCTTGCACAGCCGGGCTTGGATATACCTTTGTTTGAAAAAAAAATACACACTAATACACACAGATACAGATAGAGACACACAGACGCATAGACGTTAACACACACACACACATACATATACATACATATACACACACACACATATGTGTATATATACATATATATATACACATACACACCTATATGTGTGTATGTATATATATATATATATAAGGAATATATAAGTAATAGATATAATAGTATTAGTAATATATTATATATATAAATATATAAAAAAATAAATAAATAATATATATATATATAAATAATATCTATATATAAATAAAAATAGTATATATTATATATATCATATATAGTAAATATATATATAAATAAATAAATAAATACATTATATAAATCTATATATATATATATACTAAAATATATATATATATATATATATATAGTTATATTATATATATAATATACATAGAAATAAAATCAATAAATAATAAATAAATATATTATATATATATATATATATATATATATATATTATATTATCTTCTTATACATATGTATATATATATATATTATATATATATATATATTATATATATAATATATATATATATATCAATGAAGTATTATACCACATTACATTGTTCAACTAGATTATACATTGTATGTAGGTAATGAATATAGTAATGTGTGGATGGTATGTATAGTATCTATTATATAAATAGTATAAAAACTCTATATATATATATAATATATATATAATGTGGGTAGCATAGGTGGGGGGAGTATAGTAGTGGGAGGGGGTCGGATTATATGATATATGAGGCATAGATAGGTATGATTATATATATATAGTTAATATGTTTTATAGTAGGTATAGTTGAGTAGATATTGTTTTATATTAAATAATATGAGTAGTGATATATATAGTGCGAGTACATCTAAATGTAACACTACATATGGACATTAGATTATATCGGATAGGTTAGTATATGTTATTTGTAGTGTATGTATTGTAATAGTATATATATATATATATATAGATATATATATATATATAATAGGGGGGGATATATTTATATATATATAGAGTTAGATATATATATGTATAGTATAAATATATATATATATATAAATATTTATATATATATATATATATATATATTATACATATATATAGATAATATATATATATTATATATATATATATATATATATAATATATATATATATATATATATATATATATATATATATATATATTATATATATATATATATATATATATATATATATATATATATATATATATATATATATATATATATATATATATATATATATATATATATATATATATATATATATATATATATATATATATATATATATATATATATATAACTGTTATATAAGTCTATCAAGAATCTCATAATTATTTCCTCCTATGTATATATGATATATTGGTAACTGGGTAAATGGGTATATGGGGGGTGTGGGGGGGGGGGTATATGTTTTAAATATATGTTTAAAAATGTATATATAGAAATCAACAAAACGTCTATGACATAGTATCTGTAAATCTCACTTCCATACCGACTAACCCTCGCCTGATTATACTCTAGAGTTGAGTGTACTGCGAGACTTTTGTCATAATATGTGTGTATGTATGTGTGTGTAGAGATTAGGGCGTGTTGTGTGATGAGTGTTTGTGAGTAGTGTGTGTGTGTGATGTTTGAGTAGATGAGAGATAGAAATTGATTATCTGTGACTATTATTATACACACACACACACACACTGTTTGTGTGTGTGTGTGCGTGTGTATGGCTTTCCTCGAAGAAGGGAATCAAAGCAAGCTCCTCCGCAGGCTCCAGAGGGTTCCCGGGATCCAGCTGTTTGGCGACCCTTTGACCTCCATCGTCGCCTTTCGGAGTTCGGAGGTCAACATCCTGGCCGTGGGAGACCTCATGACGGCGCGGGGGTGGCACCTCACCTTCCTCCAGTATCCGCCCGGGTAGGTAATCAGTACGCTATTGCTGAGGATTTTTTAGACGATTTTACTATTATTCGCTTTAAGCTGGCTATCCATTCAAATTTTGAATAACCGTTTAGGCAAGTTTTAAAATATAGGATAATTTTGATGCCAGCGTATCTTTTGTTTGGGTAATATATTATCCTAAGAGTATATCGCTATACTGTTCGCGTTGGGAGAAGCACGAGCTCATATTCAAACATATTCTATATATACATTATTTTTCAGTAAGGGATATATGGTGATAACTGTGATGCTAATGATCGTGGTGTTTGTGATGATGCGGATATATAATAGCGCAACGACTATATAGTGTACATATATTTTTTTTCAGGAAGGGATATACGGTCATAACTGTGATGTTAATGATCGTGGTGTTTGTAATGATGAGGATATATGATAAAGCCAAAAAGAAAGAAAAAAATAGTAACCTACTAAAGATAACATCAACCTAATCCTAGTTTCTTCTCTTTTTTTCTTTCCTTTTCTCTTCGTCTCAGCCTCCATGTGTGCCTGACCAGCCTCCAAGCCACGGACAATTTCGCCGAAGAACTGGTGAAGGATGTGAAGGAAACAATGGATATCGTTCGCCTTAATCCTCAACCGCCTTCGGGAGTGGTAGGTGTTGTTGAGGGAGGTATGGGGTGTGAGGGGAGGGTATGGGGGGGTTGGCGTAAGGATAAGGGACTGGGGAGGGGGTGGATCAAAGATCAAGTGTGAGTGGGTAGGAAACAGCGAATTTAATCCGTGTGTTTGTGTGTCAATATGGATAAACTTCTAAAGTATAAAAAGATATTGTTTTTCAGGTAAGAAATTCCTATAAATACACCACTCTGTTCTCCACAGGGCAAAGTATATGGTACAGCCGCCAGTATACCCGACAAATCGCTAGTGGGGGAAGCTGCGAAGATATTTCTCACCTGCTATTATGACACAGAAATTGTACCAGACGACAAGGACAAGGTGAAAGATGTCGACACAAGTCGCAGCACATAATGAATTTTTGTAGTAAGATATTTTATAATTAGTTAGGAAAGTCTTACTGATTTTTTGTGTAAAATGTGTACTACACTTGGTATCAATATTTGAACAGATTATTTGAAACTGGTATGATATACTGGTCATGGTGTTTATCTCCTATTATGAACTGAAAATCCATATGCTATTTAATTATCCTTATTTTTTATATCATACATTTGCTATATAATTAGTTTAACTGAACTATTTATTCCTACACCATGTATCTACAAGCATTTAGCTGCATAAAATATTTGATGTGCCTCAAGGCTGATTTATTTTTCATTATAAAAAATCTTTTACATTTTAATAAAAAGTATATCTAGGTTTTGAAACTGTTGGCAAGTTATTTTTGACTTAATACCTGACAGTTCGAAATATCTAAATGCAATAAAAAAAATATAGAATGATAAAATTGAAAAAAAGACAAAATTGCATTTTATATTTGAGGCAAAGCTAACAGCTAACAGTGCGATGCTACTTACTATTTACTATGGATCCCTTACCTATAGACATGCTTTAATAACCATCTATTAATTACTGCTGAATTATGTATGCTTGTAATTTGCGATTCACAAAGTATCAGTGGTTTTTAAATAAAGGTTAAATAATTTTACCACAAACCAATTTGAAGAAGCCAAAGAATAGAAAGGAAACTAAAGTAATCATTATGGAGAGACTAAACTCTTCACAACTTTGGAACTGAAGCCTAAAAACATTTCCTTCTCATGTTCCATTAAATATATTTCATTAGGAGACTACCATACAACTAAAATTTAAGTTTTAAACATAAAGGCTTATTACTATTTTGGAACTTTTATTCTTATTCCTCAATGGATAAGTAAACAAGCTTTTCTTTATCAAATTTTTGGAACACATTTCACAATACTGTTTCCTGAAATGACTAGAAGTACTAACAGTGGTTCAGGAGGGAATTCATTATAATATGAGAAACAGAATATATACTTTGTAATTATCTGTAATTATCAAATAACATATTCTGTCTTCCCTAATACACATATTGCAGAAATATGCATTCACTAACTTCTTCATACATTTATACAGTGAGAAGAATTCAAGAAAAAGAAAATGTGTTCATTCAAATAAGAGGGATATCATTTAAATTCTTAACTCCTAAACAAATTTAAACTATAAAGGACCCACATTAATTTATAAACAGTACATTTCATTCCTTATAAGCTGCTGTTGTGACCTCCTTTCATATCTGATAAAATGACATTAACAGGGACTTTTTTAAAGTAAGAAAGAAGTGATATTAAAAACTACAAGTATGCCATTAGACAAAAAATACACACATTCCTGATATTAAAAAAGTCTTCACAATCACTAAATCTTATAATAATTATAAAAGTAAAGACACCTAAGCTTTATCATTTCGAGAAGGAAATATATGTAGGTATATGGATACACCTCTGATTATTTTTAGTCATAAATCTTCCCAAAATTATTAAAGGCACTAACATATTTACCATATAATGTCTACATTTAAACTTATTACATAAGTGCTGAATTTGAGACCTATTCAAGACTGCATACAAAGTTCAGGATGATAGCTAATGTTTTACACTTTGGCATACAAACAGTTGTAAATGACCATAATGCACATATTTTTATGGTGAAAAGAAAAGAGGTGCAGATAACACTTATTATCAAAAGAAGTCACATTATCTATGTGTGACTTGCAGATTCAACAAAATGTACTCTACCTACTGAAAACTGGAATTATGATGGTGATATGTTGTAGATTTCACAAACACTTCATTCTTGACAAATTATTTTGCTCTGTCACAGCCAAGATTTGGAATATCATACAAGAGAAATTCTAGGCCTGATAAAAATATCCCAAGAACATAATATGTGGTTAAAATATGCTTGAGAAAATACAATAGATTGCTTAAGACTACAAATAACAATAATGGATGTGTAAGATACGAGGAAAACTACATGAAGTTTGAAAACGCAGAAGCATGTAATTACATACATATGGTTTAAAATTCACTTCTGAAAAATTAATTTTCTTATATTACAACAACTAAAATTTTCTTGTTTGCTACAGTAGTGGGCTACAGTGTAATATTCATAATGTCAATATTCCCATACAAACAGAGCTGCTGAATAGCTGTAATAAATATTTAATACTATATTCTACCACTGTCTTCCATCATTTCATGGACTGCAATCAACTGGGATGTTATCAAAATGGGAAAGGCAAAAAGAGCTCATTTTAAGTATGTATACATATATGACACACAGGCACACACAAACAACAGATGTACACATATCCATATTCTGCTAATAAAGAAACAGATAAAGAAAATAATCCCAGTTGCCAAACCAAAATACATTTTCTCTGCAAAATAAATAACCATTTCCATATGCAGTACATAAATTCTAGCTAATAGACTTTACAAACTATCTTTTACTATTATAAAATTTGATGATTAGAACTATTTGATCAACCATGCAACTGAAATATACCACCTAATTCTGAGAGACCTTGTACATTTTTTTACAGCAAATGATAATTATAAAACTCCAGACTGTTGCACATGTGTATCTATCTCTGCCCATGATATTAATTCACAGCACACAGACAATTTTTTTTGTATTGTTCTTTAGCTTATATAGATATATATATCTATGGCATTCAATACCTATGGCATTTAGGTCTTCAAATAAATGTGCAATTACAAGAAATTAAAGAAGTAGAAGGGGTGGGAGAGAGGGAGTGATGGAGAGCAGATCAGGAGGAGAGTGAGGGGGGGTGGGAGTGAGAGTAAGAGAGTAAGAGAGTAAGAGAGTGAGAGAGTGAGAGAGTGAGAGAGTGAGAGCAAGAGAGAGAGAGAGAGAGAGAGAGAGAGAGAGAGAGAGAGAGAGAGAGAGAGAGAGAGAGAGAGAGAGAGAGAGAGAGAGAGAGAGAGAGAGAGAGAGAGAAAGTTTGAATTATAAATTCAGTTACAAGGATATATGTTAATATAACATAAAAAAATGTAAACTAAATGTCTGGGTACATACTGAAACTGCTAAAGTATAGCACACTTGTCAAGCTACTAACTCCTCTCTCCATTATTCTTTGATATGATTATCAATGTATTCATTCTTCCAAAAGTTATCGCTTCCTGTTTCAGAAAGAATCCGTGAAGACCTGTCACAAAATAAGAACTGCACAGGTCATTCACCCTATTTCCATACAGAAATCTGACTTAAAAGATACTACCCCCTCCCCCCTTCATACTGACACAAAAAAGTTATCTCATCATTTGAATCCATATACAGAGCATTACTAACTGATACATAATCTTATGAAATCCAAGATACATACACATACATACTTTGTATGTACGTGGGACTCTCCTATACAACTGCGATACATCGACTTTGATCTTTTCTCTTGTAATATGTACCAGTGAGTTAGACAGGAAAATGGTCCTATAATTTCTGATATATCTTTAGAACATGGATCATCTTCTTTCCTATTTTTTTATAATCCAAAGCATATCCAGACTTGAAATAGAATGTTACCATTACAACACCTTTACCATATGTGTTATATTGTGCTATTCAAACTTTTTCTTCCAGCTTGGAGGAGCCAACTTCCTGACACGCTGATGGTACATGTGGGTCATCATCTTATACATCACTGCAAAAAAACATATTAGAAAATTATAAACATCACAAAACAGGATCACAACATATGTATAACAGTACATCAGACCATTTTATCTCATTGACACTGGGCCAAGACAGACATATACTGTATGAGCAAAACTACTCAAATGAAACAGATTTACTCCCATTTAAGAAAAGGCAAAGAAAAGAAAAAAAAGAAAGAAAGAAAAAAAGGGTGGGCATGTATTTGAGTAATCTAATAATCACTAATTTCTCTCTTGGCTGTATTTGTTTTGCTTCAAACTAATAATTCAAGCAAGTTCACACAGTTGCTTGACAGCTCAAAATTTCAGCCTGATTTTCACTAACTCATTTATTTAACTCTTTTTACTAAAATATTTTACTGAAAACAAAATGCTAAAATCTATGTTATCACAGATAAAGATCACTCAATAACTACTGAGTTAATTGAACTGTGATCAGATTCAGATGGCTATACTGAATATAAAACAAAAACAAAATTCATATCACTGGATTTACCATAACTATATATACTAACATGTCTGGAAACTAACCCTGTCTATCCTAGGTACTCCTACATGGTAGGGCACTATGGGATACATACAGCTCCTTGGATATAAAGAGTAACTTATGTAAACATCTGACTAACATAATAATGTTTTATAACAAGGTCATAAACTTCAACATCCCGTAACAAGTTTCTAAAACTTACCAGGAAACAGGAAGAAGAGGAGATAACATCTGAGAAGGTTTGGGAAATAGAAACTGAAGTTCCACTCGTTGGGCAGCGCAACAGAGAACTTCTTTGTCTCTTCAAAGTATGGAATATCCCTGAATGAATGGAGATTTCATTAATAAAACTGAATTAATATATTCTGATTTAGCTAATGTTTTGTTGTTGTTTATTTTGTATACTATTACCCAAAGCAGCAAATTATTTGTTGCACTGTAGACTCTCTCTTTCTCTCTGCATCTAAAGACAATGTGCTCCTTACAAATGTTGTAACAAGGGTAAAGAAGCCATAAAAAACAATCATGATGTTTATAGGTACACAGGTACCTACAAAACTTTCTTTGTCCTTATAAGGTATATAACTACAAATTAACTTGAAAAAAGACAATAAAACAACTTCAAAATTATTTTGAAGGCTGGTGGGGAAAAAAAGAAAACACACACACACACACACACACACACACACACACACACACACACACACACACACACACACACACACACACACACACACAGATAAATATTTGACCAAAAACAGTACAGGGTTTATGTAAAAATAAGATATTACACATTATGGCCCATAGGATACATTATAAGAAAGAAAAAAAAAAAAAAAAATTAGTTTAAAATGTGTGAATTTACTAATAAATGTTTAAGTAAATCCAAAAAAATGTAATAAGAAAACATGTACATTTATGTGTTGTGATACTTAATATAATACTTAACCAATCATTCTTATATTTTGGCTTTGAATAGTCATCTAGTGTGCCTATGCAAAGTATTTTGAAAAAAGAAATATTCCACGGCATTTTCATGTAAATTTGCTTCACTTTAGATTTTCTGTGATAAAGAAAAAAAAGAAAAAAAAAATTGAACATCAATAAAAAGTTAGAAAGCTATGTTACTACTTCATTTTCTAACCAATTCATTTTTATATATCTTAGTCTTTCTAACAGAGAAGCAAAATGTTTTAAAAATCATCAAAATATTTCAGTTATAAGTACTTTACTTAGAAGAATAGCTACAGTTCAGCACTCAGACAGCCCCACCAGAAAATTCTATTCTTGCACTTTTGCCTGTTTATTTAGATCAAACCTCACAGCTAGGGTCCATAAAGTGACTATGTAGCTGCTGGTATATCATGTACTTCATGTCAGCGACTGGTATATCATATATCTTTGTATCACATATTCTGTAACACTGCGATCGGTGAGGTTGTATGGTATAAAATTCATCTTCTGTCTGACAACCGCCGAGGCCCCTCGGCGGCTGTGACCACTAGGTCAACACATGGTCTGTATCACCAATAAGAGCTGACCTATCAAAATATGTTTGTGCAAGAGGGTCGTGCCATAGGAATTGATGACGGCTCTTCTAATGTATAACATATGTTACTTGACAATTTTTGAGGGGCAGTCCAAGGGGAGCCTCAGTGCCATCAAGACGCCCATTGCATTCTGGAATCAGACTACTAAGCTGATATTCTGACTGTTCCCGCAATGTGTATGTATCCAATATTTGTAGAAAGTTCTTTATCATATAATCTAACATGTTATTTAGTAGCCTCATGTGTTGTAGGCATGCAATCTTATATGTGATGTATTAATTAACAGGTTTGAGCGCTACTGAATAAACCTTGAGTGAGTGCTACACAGTGGTATCAGTCACCCCAGACCCATTGACAGATCATAGGCGTACTTTGGCAGCCACAGTCTAAAACAGTGGAAGGCTTATTTTAACCAGAATCAGGAAATATAGGAGCTCTGAGATAAGTGTGCACTCCTTCTGAATGTTCATGTGTAACTAGCTTCTTAACCACATGCAGCAAGGGAAAATGCTGTGTTTTTTTTCTTTTTTCTTTTGTGAAATGTCTCTTCACACAGATGGCTCTGCTAGTGCTTAGCCACAAAGGAGTCAATTAGTAGACCTAGTGACCTTACCTAATTTCACCTTTCCTTGAATTGGCAGGAAAAATGTATTTTTTACTAAAGTTATGAACATCAATGGTGTTATTTTTATTAAAGACATTATAATTACTATAATGTTCTAAATATTAGTAACAGCAAAATAAGATAATGTAAAATATTTTCATAAATCAAGGAAAAGGGTAAACGGGCGAGACAGGCAGTACTTGTAATTGGCTCCTTGGTGACTTAGTACAAGTGTAACCATCTATGTGTAAAAACAATTAATGAAGTAAACTCACAGTGGGCATAGCATGTACATACATGCCATACCTGTTGGCATTGGGTTAAGTGGCTTCTGAGCGTCTGTGTGAGTTGCCAATGGCTCTCATTCTTCCTAGACCAGCACACATTCAGCCTGATGCTGGTAAAACAGGAATTCAATGGAAAATTGCCTTTATTCTGTGCACATAGAAGGTCCCAATTTGCCATACCCCCTGCAATGGGTTAGGACTTTTATCTCTTTAAACACATGTTAGATATTTAAATTGTATTCTATGGTTAAAATTTGCTTGGGGAGTATGTTTAGATGGTAAACGAACCTTTTGAGCCAAGTTTTGAAAACTTCTATAAATTGATTATACCCCTCACCCCCAGGTACCATGTAACCCCTTTATCTCAAACATTCAGTGACTTGTAAAACATGCAAGTATGAAGTTGCAAATACATTACTACATTACATGTTAACTGAACTCACCTGAGAACTACAACCCCTTCACAAATAAAGCCAAGAGGGTACAGTGGGATCCAGATGGTGTATCGCAGCCAAGTCAGGAAGCTTATCTCAACGTCATACACCCTCAACATGTAGTAAGGATACCTGTGGAAGATTGAGTTAATGATCTTCAAAGATATGTCCTGCCTTAATCTGATCTAGATTGAAATTGATTACCTAATTAAAAAAAAAAACTTTTGAATAAATAATATCTTTATGTTCCAATAGATAAAGAACTATCTTACCTTACAAGCTCTATAAGTGACCAAACAAGATACAGGTAAAATATCACTGGTTTGGTCTGCATTCTCTCTTCTCCTTCAATCAGACAAAAGAAGATAATTCCTCTTCCACCAACCTGAGATGTAGAACCATGTATTAGGAAAAGGGGAGACTAAGAAGAAGGAGAAGGAGAAAAAGAAATGTCAATCCAGATTACAAGTCAGTGCTGAATGACAAATTTTCAGGACAACATAATATTCTCTGGCTAAAATGCCTTCCTTTTAATGATGTACAAGATGCAACTCATTCTACCTGGACGATAGCTTCAAACACTGATCCCTTTGTGTAGCCAACCATTGGGTGGAAGATTTCCAGAAACTGTGTTATGAAGCAGAGCCGCAGCATCCAGCCAACATTCAAGTGAGTTCCTTCCATTGATGCTGTGATGTAGATAGTAGAAAGAAAATGTTTTTTATGATCTACCAGGGTTTTCTTTATAATTACATATTATTATAGAATTTAATTTTTAAACTAAGTGACTAGATGGTGACAGATTAATGAACAGAACCTTTAAATCTTTGGGGCAATATTTCCCACGTATCTACAATCACAAACAATATTTATAATGACTATATTTTTCCCCTAAAAACTATTAAACAATGAAACCAACTTACCGGGGCCATCTCTTAGGTATCTGGTTCCCATGACAACCACAATGTAAATGAATCCTATAAACTGCCACAAATTGTACAGGAAAAGATATACTTTCTTCATACTCTCTCCTGAAATAAATAAATAAATAAATAAAAAAATTGATAACATGTATGAAAGGATATTACATCAATGTTAATTATTCCAATATTTAAGGTAAATATTTAAATATTTACCTTTCTACCAGGCTAGATTTATTTTCCACTAAAATATGTAATGAACAATATCAACCCAGCTCTTACTCTTTGTCGGCCATCCCATTTCCTCGGCTTGGACCCTGTTATACAGATCAGGATAATCCTCCATGATGTCTCTGGCTTCATCGGATAAGTCCTCTTCATGAGTCCATTTGTCAAAGTCAATCTAAAAGTATATGTTTTCTTCTATAGACCATTCTTTCTTTATCAACTTCTGTCATTTCTCTTGTAATCTATATTATTAGATTTGTGTTAACTATTAAGTAAATCAACATTTGATCTACTATTCTGTAAAAACTATCAAAGAACATGGTACTTACTTTCAGCCAGGCAGGTTTCTTTGCATCTTCTAAAAGCCTTGGCCAGAATTCAATCTCGGACTTCATGAGGCTGAATTCAACGTTTCTGTCTAAGATTCTGTATTTGCTTTTCTGTTCAGACAAATAAATGATAGAGAAATTATTTTGCTATTCCAAAAGCACTAAAGGACTATATATAAAATTTAGTAATCTGTTAAATAATGTTTTTCTACAGTCCATAAACTAAGAATCACATATCAAATCCTCTATCCATGTCAAGTGCTATAAGGAGCTAATTCTTACCCAATATTACTTTACCCTTGCCGACAGGGAAAATGAATAAAAAATTTGGAAAATGCTGTGCTCATTTTTTATATTTTTTTGTGAAATGTCTCTACACATAGATGGCTCTGCTTACCTGATTTCACCTTCCCTTGAATTGGTGGGAAAATGTATTTTTTACTATTGCTATGAATATCGATGATGTTATTTTTATTATAAACATTATAATCATTATAATGTTATAAACATTAGTAACAGCAAAATAAGATAATGTAAAATATTTTTGAAATTAAAGAAAAGGGTGAACTGACGAGACAGGCAATACTCATAATTGGCTCATTGGTGGCTTAGTACAAGTGTAGCCATCTATGTGTAAAAACAATCTAATAAGTAAACTTACAGTGGGCACGGCATGGCATGCCTGTCGGCAATGGGTTAACAAGCTGCTGAGAGGCGAAGTAAAAACATGCAGTCTATTGCG